GATTACCTGTAGTATCAGTGATTACCTGTGGTATTGCTCGTGAGCAGCTCCTCCAGGTGTACAGCATGATGGCGTACTCCTGCCCCTCCTCCAACATCACATTCTAGTTCAACAAAGAAAAACCAGTCAGAAGATCAAGAGACTCACATCCTCCAAACTACACATGAGGACTACAACGTCCATGCTCCACTGCTTCTTTTCTGCCTTCATACAAAGTGCTGTTTGATTCAGAGCCTGAGCACTAATTAAACACAAAGCCCCAGTATTCCTGGTGGACCTCATTGAGTCCCACAGAGCCACTGCTGCGGTCAGAGAGTAGAGTAGAGTAGAGTAGAAGTGTGACCCTGCTGCTGTACCATGCTGGAGTGGACCGTGGCCTGCTCGATGTATCTGGCGATGCCGGTGACGAACGCATTTCGGTCCTCAAAGTTGGTGTTGAAGTTGGGCTGTGGGAAGATGGGAGGTTACGTTACAACACTGACACTAAAGAGGCAAATAAAGGATGTATCACGAGCATATAATAACGAGTCTCGGGCACATAACATAGTATAATGGCCGTGAGTTTTTATCCTAAAGATTAAAATCTCCACCACTGATTTACAATGAAGAGTAGAAGAAGAGCGTAGAAGAGAACGGAGAGGTTCTGATGTACATGTTCATGCTGCAGATATGTGCACTGATACTTTATTATTCAGTGGGTTCTATTCCCCAGCTTACGTTACCTATTCTACGTGTTCTATTTCAGCTTATTTTTATCATGTGGGTTTTATTTTCAGACTTATTTGACCTGTTTTTAATCTTCATTCTACGTCTATTTAACTTCATTGTGAAGAACTTTGTGATGCATTTCTTAATTGAAAGCTGTGATATAAAGAAAGATGATGATTATGATCATCATCCTTATTATTATGCCAAGTTATGCTGTTTCATTGGTCTACTAACAGAACACTCCTGTTAAGTACTGTATTTAGGGACTATGTTATGTTGATCTATACAGGATCTTTTAGGGCATATTGATATCCTAACAAGTGGTTGATGGAGGTTCTTCAGACATTATTGATCTCTTATGGAGGCACTCTGTGTGGAGCTCTGTGCACTCAGAGCATCCTTCTAGTTATTTATTGATCATTTTACTGTTATTCTCTGTAACTGCAGCACATGAGACGTCTCCATGTCTGTCCGTCTCCCACCACACAAATAACCTAAATAAACCTCTGTTGACTGGTGGACATCACAACGACTCCGTAATGAAAGGAAAGTAAAAGAGAAGTCAGTGAGCAGACTTCATCCTAACAGACCTGGAACATGACGGAGGAGGGGAGGGGCTCGATGCAGGGCTGCTGGTCCGGGAGCGGCAGCTCTTCCAGCAGGTCCACGTTGGAGAGGGCATCTTCTAAAGTCACTGTGGACGCCATGCTGCTGCAGCGGACGAGAAGAACCGTCATGTTTACACCGTCTGTGTCACACAGAGCTCTTTATCACAATAAAGCTGCTATGAACCGCGAGTATCAAGAGACTGACGGACCACACTTCATTCTCCAGAACTCCAGACGACGTAGAAACAAGATGAAGTGTGAAGAATCAAAAAGACAAGTGTAACTCAGATATGAACACAGACTGTAGCTGTAACCGACTAAACACCATAAACTAACCTCCACTATAGAGAGGAGGGATTATAATCATCTATAAACTCATATTCATGAACTACTTCATCACCTTCATACAAACCTGTGAAGAAACACGTCCAGTATTAAATGTGTTATAAAGAAACTACGGTTGAATATAAACTATTTGATTTGGCTGATAAATATTCAATATAATGTAGATTTTAATACCTGTTTCTAAAGCATCTAAAAACTAACTGCTGTTCTTTGTAAAATACTCAGACGTGTAAATAGTTTTTAAATCGAGCGAGTGCCTGGTTACAAAAACTCAGAGGTACATGTATGGAAGGCCAAAAGAGGCAATAAACACCTCTATTTTCACCAGATTTATGTTAAAATGCTGTTTTTATAGCATTTTTCCTTCATGGTAATGAGCCCATCATGTGCAATTACATCCTACAAGATGGATACAGGTCATTTTAGAAGACAAAAGAAGGTGATTATATTATCATGCGTATTTAATCCTATATAGTCACATCTGACCCTACCAATGGGAGGTACTCCTCTTCAACGTGTTGCTTTGTCTGGTTTCACTCTTCACTGACTGGTTACAGAACCTTTAAGCTCACTGGCTCTAGAAACAGAAGGCGGGGCTCACGACCACGAGGAGGAAATGTTTTCCACTGCTTTTAGGTTGCGAAAAAATAAGCCTTTTGTTGGTCAACAACGGGGGAAAGAATCGAGGCATTTAATGTCACTTTTGGCTTTCCATATCCACGACTAAGCGTCGCGACCACAGACTGTTTATGAGAACAGGGCTCAGTCATTGTGACATCACTCATTGGTTTGTGGACGTTTTGAAGCCTCGAGTTCGGCAAATTATCTTTCGCCATCTTGAAATACGGCCGTCCCCATTTTTGCTTTTACGTCTCTGGTAGAGACCTGTCAATCACCGTGTAGCCCCGCCCTA